CTGCTCTGGTATGCTTTCCAAAACTAGGGGATTAACACCCTAATATGAGCTAAATCACAGACTTTACTTGAATAAGTTTTTCCACTAAGGCCCATTTTCTGTTTTGGGATCCAATTCAGGCTACCATATTGCTTTTAGTTTCTATGACTCCTTTGTCTCTTCTGGTCTGTGACAGTTCCTTAATCTTTCTTTGTTTTCCATGACCTTGAAAGTTTTGAGGAATATGGGTCAGATCTCTTATAGAATTTCCCCAATTTGTGCCTGCATGATGTTTTATCATGATTAAACTGTGGTTATAGGTTGGGAGAAAGAATATTACAGAAGCAAAGGGCCTTCTCTTTGCGTCATCTCAGGAAGTGCAATATACACAGGGAAGCAGTGTCTTTTTTTAGCATCAAATAATTGGCCAGAAATAATTCAATTTATTCTGTCCTTACTTTGGGTCCAAGGTTATATACAAAGAATTCTTTCTCTCTCTCTCTCTCTCTCTCTCTCTCTCTCTCTCTCTCTCTCTCTCTCTCTCTCTCTCTCTCTCCCTCTCCCTCTCCCTCTTTTCCACTCTCTCTCTCTCCCTCTCCTTCCATTCTCTCCTTGCCATTTATAGACTACACGTCAGGTGTTATTCTGATAATGATGTACACGTTGTCACTTCCATTTTACAGAAATTAAGTTGCCCACACATGCACCCAGCTAATAAATGGTAGGGCTGAGGGTTGAATTTGGGTTCTTCCTAACACCCAACCATGCCTCTGGAAGATACAGCTCTGGCCAAGAAACGTTGCCCAGAAAATGACTCCATGTGCAATGATAATCTAGAAGGATTCTCCTGCGGCTTTCAAGCCAGGTTAAGGTTACCCACACCAAGAAGTTCGGTATGGCTTCTCAGAGGGGATGGCACTTGACCTAGCAGAGAAGACCTTTCTGGAAAGAAGCAGAAGTATGTGAAAAGGCAGAGAGGTTCAAAGAGTTTGGGTTCTGAGCAGAGTGAGCAGCTGGGTGAGGCTGGAGGGGAAGACGGCGTCTTGGGTTATCCTCCCAGAGCCACTCTCTGAAGAGGTGTTGGAGGGAGGCACATCTTATCTCCTCATCTGCCGGCTGCTGCGGGGCTGGGTGGAGCAGCAAGGGCATGAGACACAGGCTCAGCAGCCCCTTCTGGCCTGACCTTCACACCGCTCCAGCCTCTCTCTCCTTCAGCTCTCTCTCCTGTCAAATGGGAAAGATGCTCACTGTCCACAGCGCTGGCTGCCTTGGGTGGTACAGTGATAAGGGAAAGGACCCTGGGAACTAGAAAGGGTCACATGTCGACTGTAGCTGCAAACAGCCTCGCAGCCACCACAGCGCCCCCCTCCAGAAATGGAGCAGGCCTCTGTACACAGCCTCCCAGGCACCGCTGCCTCGCTGGCAAGTCTCGCTAAACGGAATTGGCAGCAAAACCCGGTGACGTTCCTGACATGAGTCCCCTGCCTCTGCTTATTTGGTTACTTCCCCTTTGAGGGGACTCTGAGCCAATTTTCTAGCAGTTTCTGAAGATTCGATTAGGGGCATTACCATCCCAGCCCATCTGGTCCTGCTCTAGTCAGGGCAAAGCAATGGGTTCAGAGTTGTGACAGGACACTGGAGGCATCTGGGCAATTCAGGGACAGCGCATCCTGCTCTGCACTGAAGATCTTGCCAATGCCAAATTAAAGCTCCCCAAAGTCACAGCGGAGGTTGGCATAACTCACTTGCTGTCTGCAAATTCCCCATCCCAGCCTTTGATGCAAATCAAACAGGAGTCTTGGTGCCATTAGGACCACACACTCTCTATATAAACCCGATTTAGGCAACTTTATCTAAATTAGGCTTCATCTCTTGTCATCTCCTCCACATCGGGTTAGAATGAAGAGCTTGATCATCATCTCTCGGCTCTTCTAAAGGTCTGTACTTAGCACGAGGTAGAGGTTGGATAAATACTTATTAAATGAAAGGATAAGTGAAGAAGTGATCAATCCATGTTCTCCCAACACCCTGGGCTTCTGAGTGAAAGGGATGATGGGTTTGGAATTGTCACATCCGGGAACAAATCCCAGCTCTGATATTTGCTCCTGGCATTTTTTGCAGGCCTCGGTGATCTCTCCACAGAGACAATGGAGGGTGGCATGAGTTCTTGACACGAGTCCCATGTCACTGTGGGTGTGTTAGTTTCCTTGCCACTGGAACAAATTGCCAGAAGCTTAGTGGCTCTGAAAGATTCTGGAGGTCTGAAACTCAAAATGGGCTTCATTTGGCGAAAATCGTGGTGATAGCTGGGTTGTGCTCCTTCTGAAGGCTCCAGAAGGGAATCCATTTCCTGTCTCTTGTATCATCTAGAGGCCACCTGCATTCCTTGGCTCATTGCCCCATCCTCCATGATGGAAGCCAGCAGTGGAGCATTTCAAGTCTCTGTGACTTTTCTGCCTACTCCGCCCCCGTTTCCACCTTTAAGGACCCTTCTGGTTACACTGGGCCCAACTGCATAATTCAACACAGTCCATCTCCAGGTCTTGCCCTCCATTACATCTTTAATTCCTTTTGCCATGTACTGACAGGTGCTGGGCATCCAGATGTGGAGGTGTGCAGGGCGCGTTACCTGCCTACGGCAGCAGCCATGTAGCTGGTGGCTGCACTTCAGATATCTAGCAACAGCAAAGGGAAGCACCATTCCTCTCCAGGGTGTCACAGAAAATATATAGAAATGTACCCAACAGAGGCTCCCGCCACCATGAGAACAGTGGCCGGGCATCCTCTTGGGAGGAATCTAATTCAAACTGAGGGGACTCTGCTCTTTCCACCGTGGGACTCCACTTAGGACTCCCTCATTTTTGTAACAGTGTCCACCAGATACCAGCTCAATTCAGTGTTCACATACATGGGTCTGCACTGGTTATGGCTAATGGTGACCCTGAACTGCTACACACCTCCTCCAAATCTTGGTGGGAAGACTGCTACTCAAGAAGCCCCCCCCCCACCTGAGAGACAGGTGGCCCAACTATACCTTTAACCTCTGTGCATAGATTAAGCCAGACCATATCCTTTGGGCCTCAGAGTATTTGCTCTCATTACATTTTTCTTTATTTTGATGCTATTGAACTATGGTAGGAATAGAGCATAAGAAAAAGATTCATGGAAACAGTTTCATTTACTATAACAGTTTCAATGAGGCTATCCACGGCCTTTCAGCACATATTTCTTATAGGAAACCACACAGAAATATTCTTCCAGTGTCATAACACAGTACTAGTTATGGCTTTCTCTAGTAAAGGCTTTGTATTCCATCACGTGAACACAGGCTCACGTGGAGGACCATTTTCCCCTATTTTCGCCACCATTAGGAAGACTAGACACAAAACTGTCCCTCTAAAAATACCTTTAGACACCATAACCTGAATTATATGATTAGTTTACTTTCCTCCCTCTTGTCTCTCTCCCCCAGTTCCTTTGCCTGTTTTATATTTTCCTTCTTATTGTTGATAGTGTCTGTAAGCTGAGAAGAAGGCAAGGTAAAAACTTCTGTTATTGCCAAGATTTTTTTTCTCTATGTGAAACCAATACCCCTGTTTCTCTTTGTTCCAGAAACACACACAAAGTGGAAAAATAAAAAAATTAAAAAATGAAAGTCATCAGTGCCAAGGTATAGACACTGAGCATGCAGGACTGAGTCCAGCATTGGGTAGAGTGGGGAGCTTATGCTGAGCCTATGAGAACACTTCTGCACTCTGCATGCTGAGCACGCTGAGCTTGTAAATGCCAGTGTTCTAAATGGCTGGCGTGCCGCTCGTAGATTGCTGGAACTGAAATCCATTTCTTTTCTAAGGGATATTTAGCTTTTATTATGTCTTTATTCACGGTCAAAAGACATCAGCAAATTTGCTAAATGATTGAAGATATTCTTCTTAAGGCATTCCTAAGCTTTCATAGCTTTGCCTTCGTGGTTTTGAACGTGAGCTTGTTTTCTTAGAAATGAAAAACAGAAATGTGCTTTACACACATAAGGTTTTGATAGCTGTAAAAAGCCATGATTTTTTAAAAAAATCAATGTGAGCAAAATCTCCAGTGAAAATATCTCTGTGATAGACTCCATCGAAAGAGTTCATCTCTGAGTTCATCAAACCACAGAATCACCAACTCTAAGAACCCCTTAAACCCTGTCACATGACATGTCAGAACCTTCTCTTTTGATCTCTACATCCAGTATCTAGAACATGGTGAATGTTTAATAAATAAGTGTCAAGTTAGTGAGCAACACTTCCTACTCTCAGAAAGCCTAGAATTCCATCCCAACCCCTGCAGACTGGTGGATATACAGTCCTTGCCATATGGGGACATATGACATACACTGGCCTGGAGACAGTCAAATCAGTGGAGAAATTTTGGCCATCCTCCAACTCCAGAACAACAATTTCTATTTCTACTATTTTGTCCTTTGGCAAAGACACATCAGAGAGATGATACACAAAGTCCACTTATGTGCAACTGTTCTCATGGGTGTACTTAGGTTTATGTGTAATTCCCAGGGTGCCAGTATAATCTCTGTCTTCCCTTCTCCCACTCAAGAAAATATACCAGAACACAAATGAATGAAAATGTCAGTAAGGTAGGTACTATCTCAAGTCCAGTGCAATTTACTGAAAATTTTGGCAGTGCATTCGAAATGCTTCCTACATTATTGACAAGTCATCTCACGATGACTGACACAACATTTCATCCTGATTCCGTGACTGAGAGTGCTTCTCAACAGAAACCAGCTCAGAGACCACTGTATCCTCACATGCCACCTGGGAAAGCTTCCTAACCTCCAGAGAAACCATCTATGAGGCTCATGCCACTACCAATGCAATCATCTATTGGAGCTCTGCCATCCATGTGGGACCCCCAGAGCTATAGATGACTTCCACTAATGCATAACTCACACAAGAACCCAATCTTCAGTTGGGTATCAGTCCACTTCCCTATTTGACCTTGAGGAAACTGAGCCAACTTACCACTCCACCACCAGCCGAATGCACAAGCACAGACATCCCCTCCCGCAGGTTGGCAACTTCAAAGAGCATCATGTATGCTGTGACGAAGTTCATGGGGAACGCGGCGGCCTCAGAGAAGCTCATGTCATCTGGGATCTTGTAGACAAACTCCACTGGCGTGCAGACTACTTCAGCCCAGGCGTTGTAATTGACAAAGGCCATGACACGGTCCCCAATCTGGGCACAGGGAAATACAGGGTTAATGAAGCCTAGCTCATGACAGAGGGCCAAGGAGGACTAAAATATTGGAGCTGTCCATGGTACATAGTATTCTTATTTTTCTTCCTAATCTATATATTTGGGACTTCCATCCAAATTCTTCTGAGTTCGATTGCTTTTATTCTTTGATGAAACAGATAACTCCTTAATGAATTTGCAGGAAAATCTCAAACTACTATTCAAGTTTCACAAATTATGCACCTTATTGGCAGCTCTGGATACCTGCCTGCTCCCTAGAACCAGGGAAGCTGGGAGATTGAGGACCCGTTCTCTCCTTGAAATTCTGAACATCATTTAGGGGGGCAGCAAGAAGCCAGAACAGTCCTGGCACATCCAGAGAAGGGAGAAGATAACACACCTTGCCCCTGGCCAACCTGTGCCCTTTCTCTAAGACTTCTCCAGAATTTTAGCCCCCATAGTCCAAGATGAGAGACTTACAGCCCGGCTGGAGAATGGATTTCTACTCAGAGAGGTTTTCCATGTGCACAATTCATCACAACAGAAAAGCTACCATTTACTGTACGATAATAACACACCACACTCTGTGATCTTCATTTGATGTCACTTGTTCAGTATACATGACAGCTTTATGGGATAGTGTCCCCAATAACACATAAGAAACTGAGACTGAGACAGGTTAAGTCTCTGGGCTACAAACAACCAGCCTAAGTCCTGTTGAATTCCAAATATCTTCTCATGACACCACAATGATCCCCTGCCAGGATTACTTATTAAGCCCCTTCTGTTCTTGGGTTCTAGGGACTCGAGATACAATTATAAATGAGGTACAATTCGTGCTTTCAAACTGTTCATATTCCCTGAAAATTTCATGTGGCAAGCAATGTGAGTGACAGGGCTTAGAGGGTGAATCCTTTTGGAAAGGATATGTTAGTAGAGAATGAAGCTGTGGTGGTGATATTTCAGACAGTGATCCAAAGATAATAAGATCATATTGTGTGTGGGTGGGGGAGAGTAGATGGGAGCCCGGGGATGCTAGAGTCACTTAGAGGTAAGCTCCCTGGTGCCCTGGGGATTGGCCAGACTGCCAATTCTGTGTACTTTGGAATAGGGTTGCCATAGCCTCAGTGTGTCCTGGCACAGGGTCTACAAGGACCCACTTGCCATCCAGCCTGGGAATGCTGAAGCAGAAAGTCAGCTCGCCAATCCTGGCATCCCTCAGACCTGGGTAATGAAAGGTTCAAGCGGATGAGACAGGTGTGGACAGCGGCAATAACATTATGTGTGAGCCTGGGCATCTCCACTCCAGGTGCCAAGGCATACTATCAGGGGCCGGGTGGCTGGGGTTCTGGAGAGACACCTGAACCACAGTAGCAAATCACTCTGCCCCAGTGTGTTTGCTAGCAACAGAATCAGGGCCAAGCCTGGTCGGCTAGCTCTGAAATCAGCATGGTGACCTGACAGCTGGGCAGGGAGGACTCTCTGACTGCCTCCTCACATCTCTCCTCCTCATCCTGGGAAGTTTGGTCTCCTCCTGTCCCAAACTCTCCCAGAGGCTGTGGATGGGAAGAGTTTGTGGATTTACCTGTGTGCTCTCTCTGGCCTGGTTCCCAGCTGCTGCCTTCTCTCCCCCCTCCGCAGCCCATAAATAACCAGGAAACTCAGATACTGGAAGGGGGTGGCCCTCCACCTTGACAGTAGCATTAGTCTGTCCCAGAGAGGGGACAGCTAAGAACATCAGCCTAAAATGACAAAGTGTCAGTGGTGGGTGGGAGTTAAGACCACCTGAGAAAGGGAGAAAGGCGGGCTCAGCCCCGGTGCCTGTCCAGTACCCACACCTGCCTCTGCCCTGTAGCCATCTTGGAACCCCCCCACCCCACCCCAGGAAAAGCCTAGAGAGGTTTCTCTCAGCACTGGGCCTCTGTGCCTGCTTCTCCTGCAGCTGGCCTTCCCTATCTTCCTTCATTGGGGCAAACCTTTGCTTTCCTTCAACACTCAGCTCAGATATCTCCTTTTCCCTGATGACCCTCCTTCCCCCAAAGCCAGAACCGGCCACTCATTTTTAGCATTTCTAGTGTTCGTATGTATGAAGCGTGTCCTTCGTGCTGGAATAAGTATGTAGGCCGTGTCACTGTGTTTTATTCTCCAGCAATCCTACGTGATGCCTTTATCATGCTCCCTCTGACAGACTGGGAATCAAAGCTCAGAGTAGCTGAGAAACTTTCCCAAGACCTCACAGCTGTAAGTGGTGAACACAGGACTCTAAACTAAAATTCGTCCAACCCCTTAGGCAGCCCTTTGTTCTTGCGCTGATCCTTGTATGGAGCTATCCTTTTACGAGACTGGCTCTCTCCTCTAAAGGGTGAGCTCTCACCAGGCAGAGGCTGGGGCTTTTGGGCCCAAGGGTTCTCAAGGCATGGTGCAGTGCTTGGTTTCTAGAGAGAAATGGATTGACGATTGTGAGCAATTGACCCTGGTCTAACTTCTCTACGGGGGTGGGGGAGGTGTGGGAGAATAAGAGCAGTCCTATTCTTCCAATAGTCTCAAAGGAAGTGTCTCTGAATCCACAGGGAAAATCACCGTCTGGCCTGGCTTAGAACTCCAGGAACTCTGCTGGGGCAGGGGCTGCTAGGAGCTACTGATATTAATAATGATAAGTGACATTTACAGAGAATCCGACATACTCCTGCATCAGGGCTAAGTGCCTTTCTTTATATGGCTTCATATAATTCCCAAAAGAACACATGAAATTCTTGAACTTCATGAGTAGTCATAAACTATTATTATGATGGGGAAGTTGCGGCTACAGAACAAAACTGGAAGAATTCCACTCCAGAGCTCTTCTTTGGTCCAACTGGACCCCTCCTTCTTCACATTGCAAAGGGGGACATCCACCTTCCCTGGCCACCAATGCTAGTGTGAGGCCTTTTCTTACTCCCCAGGAAAAGATCCAGAAACTATCAGAAACATTCCACAGAGCTTAAGCTCGAAGGCACAAGCATCAGCGAGGTCTCCTTTCCTCCCAAGGGGGTGATCTTCAGCTAGACGGGTGTTCTTGCTGAATCTGCGGGGAGTCTACAGTGGCTCTGGCCTGTCCAGCTGTAGTGGCCTCAGGAAAGGCCATGAGATTTCTCATTGCAAATATTTCTGTTCGGGGAGAGTCAAGAAAACCCTAGGAATCACCACACCTGCTGTCATCTCCTCCAAGATCCAGGTGGAAGTTCAACCTGCCTTAATCTTCTAGGGACAGTGAAAGAAATGTATTCTTTTTCACTTGAGACAGTGAAAGACAGTTTTATTTTCCTTGTAGCTTAGTATTTCTCTTCTACCTCCATCTAACAAAAACATAAACCTCCCATAGTTCTGCAATGACCCCATCATACAGATGAGTGGACGTAGATTATACAGGCATTTAAATGGAGGCAAAGAGAGGTTAAATCCGATGCTCAAGGTCACAGAGCCAGAGAGCAGCAGGGCCAGAACTGGAATCCAGATCATCTGACTCCAGGATGCAAATAATTAATTTATTAAACCTGAGATAAATGCTACCAAAAAACCATAAAGTAATAGGAGGATGTACAACAGGGGAAGCTATGAAGTCTGAGAACATTAGTTGAACTCTTTAGGTTTCAGTTTTCTCCCAGTCCTAAAATGGGTATGTTAATAAAGGGGTGCGTCTTAAGAAGATTAAATGACAGCATGCACACAATGTTCAGCTAGAGTTAAGAAAAATGAGGAAAGAGCAAAACATGGTAACTCTTAAAAGCAGATGGGTTCCTCATCTCATGGAATTCACAGATCACCCATCAAAGGTTAAACATTCACTCTATGTCATGAGATGGAAGAACAAAGGAACTGAGAGAAAGGAGAAGCTGTCCCACCTCGGTGTGTCCCTATCCCCGAAGGTCAGTGATCAACTTCTCTGCAAGGTCTGGACCAGATGGTAACCAGGGCCCACACTGGCCTCCTCTTCTTCACTCAGTGCCACAGAGCAGCAATGGCCTCGATGGCAAGAGAGTGAAATGAAGGGACAATGCAGGCCGACTGATCACTCCCAGACTGACACTCATTCCTGTCCATTCTCCAGATAGCAAATGTGGCCAGGCCACAGCCTCAACCTCCAAGTCTAATTATATAATACGTATGTAAATATTTAACCAAGTCACCATATTATTTATTTCTGCTAAGAAAGAGAAATCACTCTTGATTTGCGTGAGTGAGCTGAAGCTATTCCTTTACTGCTGGGCCTCTGGTGACAACTTTTCCATCCTCCTTTGCAACTGATGAGAGCAAGAGAGCTCTCCAGCAGGCTGCTGTGCTCTGCCTGGAACTCCATCCCCAGCATGATTGCAAATCTTGAAATTACACAGCGGGTATTAGTGCAGCTTTCTCCCACATCACCCTCTAACTGGGAATGTGGAGGCGGCTTCTTTTATTTATTTCTGAGCAAAAAAAAACCGCATTGGTGAAGAGAGAGTTCGGGGGTGCATTTGATAGTAAGAATCCCAGGGCTAATGAGCAGATAAATCATATTTAAAGGAAAAATAGACATCAACAAGTATGGTAAGTTAGCCCTCTACACCAAGTCTAATAACGCCCCTGTTCGCTGTTTTCTTCTGAGATCACCGGTTATTTATTCCGTGGTTATTTCTTCAAGGACTAATAGAGTGAGTAGGAAGGGATTTCCTTCTAGGTCATGTGTAGGAGTTAAGAACAGATAATCTCCTAAGGCAGTTCTTTCAGGGAGAGATAGTGTGTCTCTGGTTATACTGCTTACCTGGGGACAGAAAATGTAAAAGTCATGTGAAAAAGAGAGAGAGAAAGAAAAAAAAACTCATTTTCTTCTTTCTCAGTATTTTTCTACTGTATTATCTGGAAGCCATTGACCAGAAAAGTGATAAGCGGGATGAGATTTCTGGACATTCATTATAATGAATTTGAGGCATATTAATATTTTCAGAATACAATGAGGCTCAGATGCTCTGAGACTGAGAAGCAGACTCCAATCCACCTGAAGGGTACCCTGGCAATGGACTTTATAGGATGCGCCTTCAGTTCTTTCTCATATTTAGTGCTACAGCTCTTGGGGGTTGGGGTCAAGACTGAAATTCTAGGCATGTAAAAAGGCTCTGGTGACAAATCCAGGTTCTACCGCCACTCGCTGCCCTTCTGATCTCGCAGGAAATTACTGAACCTTTCTGACCTCAGGGGTAATAATGACCTTTACCTTGCAGGGTTCTACAAGATAACTTCTCTATGGCTCTGGTTCTGGTGGGTTCTCAGGTATGAGATCCCTTCCATCTCCCCTGGGAAGACTTAGTTATGACTGAGCGCTCTTGTTCTTGATTTGCATTGATTTTTCTGACTCCAAAATATTATAAGTTTAGGCAAGTTATGTGTCCATAGTGTTTAGTTTGTATAGACCTTATTCTATTTGCTTTGCATAATGGTAGAGAGGGTCATGCATTTTTCACAAATTTAAAAAAAAAGTTTTATTATGGGAAATTTTGAACATAAACAAAAGTGGTCAGAATAACATAATAATAAACCTTTTTTACCCACTGTCCTCCTCAGAAGCCATCAATCCATGGCCAACTCTGTCTCATTGTCAAGCACCCCTACTCTTTGACTTAAGGTCTCTTCATTCCAAAATGTTACTTCCCTTATTCCCATAGTAGTTAAGGATTTATAAACGATAAATGTATATGTTGAATAAATATTTAAAGGAACCAAATTATAAAATTCAGAGGTTATCCCCCCCGCCTCCAGAATGTTTGTGCTTTGTAATTTTGAGCCCAAGGTAATGGTAAATGGCAGGTGGGGCAAGGAGCCATGCCCCTTAGCTAATCCAAGTCCAGACACTGATTTAATAGCTGCATTACATGAATAAAGGGGAAGAGGAGATTCATGCTGCTCACTTATCCAAATTACTGCTAGAAGCAACCAAAATAGTACATGAGGGAGGCATGAGGTCTTTGGAAAGTCCTATCGCTACAAGCGTTGTTAATAAAACCAAATAATAAGATGACGAGAATAACACCAGGCCCTAATGACTCCAAGCATGTTTCCGCCTAATCTCCCTGGATTCCAGAGGGAGATGACTCTTTAAGGCAGCGTCAAAACAATACCTCGTATCCCTTCACGCTGTCTCCCAGAGCTTCAACGATCCCAGAACACTCGAATCCGGGCACCAGGGGAGTCTTGGGAGGGTTGTCAATATTCCCTTGTCGCACCATCAAGTCAATGAAGTTCAAACCACTGCAAACAGCAAACGTGAAAAGAGAGAAATGCAAAATGAGATTAATCAAGCCACCAAAACCCAGCACCAGCCTGGCTTTCTTTTCTTCCTCTCTCCCCACCTTCCCTCCCTCCCTCCCTCCCTTCCTTCCTTCCTTCCTTCCTTCCTTCCTTCCCGCCAAAGCATCCCTCATAGTAATGCCACTATGTAAATGTCACTAATAATACAAAATTCAATTATCTCTACACAGAGAAGTAGCTTTTTCTGACGGTGAAAACAGCTGCCATTCCTAATTCAAAAGAGCCCCTTTGTTCTCCCTTGGAGTCTGTTAACTCTTATTTTTAAAAACACATATCGACTAGCCTGGTCATTAGACACCCGAGCACTTGATCAAGGGTAAAAAATGTACTAGCAACTGTTTACAAACAGACACGTGGACAGGGGCCAGACACCATGGCCACCAGCCAATCTGTGAGTAAGAGAGAAAGAGAAAGGAGACCTAATTTTAAAAGGCCTCAAAATAACCAGGCATCTCTCCTCCCTCACGGCACAACACAGGCCAGCGCTGTGCAGAAACAGGATGGTGCCTGTGAGCCGTCAGGAGGCTGCACTCCATTCTGGGCAGGAGAGAGACTCAAAGAGGAGAGATCAAGGCGTGTCCCAATGGATGCGGGAAGACTGAAGTGTCTGTTTCAAAAATCCAAGCTTCCTCTGGAGGAGAGATGTTATCAGGTATTTTCTATTAACAGTACTTTTGAAATAAGGAAGTTATTAAATATATCAAAGTCATCTTTGATAGATCGATTCCAACATATCTTGATCCTTGATACTGGATTCCAATGATGCTACAAATGATTTTATTTTCTAGAACTACTATTGGGGATTGCACTTAGCACCTACTTGCTAGTCACATGGGGGAACACGTCCCATCCAACTTGCATTTTTCCAACAGATATGGTTCTAATGTGCTTCTTATTTTCATAAGCCTCCATCTGAGAAAGACTTAGGTTAGAGAAACCAAACTCTTCAGTGCAAGCCAGGGCTCATCAGCATCTGGCCACAGGTTCCCTTCCAAGTGAGGCGACCGTAACTTTTAAGCCTATCTTGCTCCTTTCTTCCCTGTCCTCTCGGGAGGAAAGCATCCAATCCTACCTACCTGTCCTTGCTCACTGATCTCATCTGCACAGAATGGATAAAGGCAGGAAGGATGGCTTTAAGGGTGGGTTCAAAGCCACCACTGTCTCAAGGTCTTGCTGAGAGTGAATTGGCAAGTTTCACAGGCTGCCTTAGCTGGCGCCTCTCCTAAGGGTGCCCCCCCTTGAAAGCAGCAATGGGCCCTGAATAATCAGTAAAGTTGATACCTAAGTAACTTCGCCATCCCATATTCAAAACTTTGCACTCCCAGGTTAAACACGAATTCCTTTGTCACATATATATTTCTGAAATGCACATGTGGACTTGCAAAGGTCCTACTATGGTGGCAAACAGTTATTTAGGTCATTTATGCACCAAAACATTCTCTAATAAACAACCTGGAAGAACAGAGTGGGAGCCTTCAGATGCACAGCAGCCCTGAAGGAGGCAGGAGCTGTGTGAGGCCTGAGGAAGAGTCCTGTTAAAAACGGCTGGAAACCCTTTCTGAGTTGGAAAGCCTTTGGCTACCTGTCACCCACAGTGCTGTGAACCGGCCCCTTTCTATAAAGCATCACTGCAGAACAACCCAAGGAATTTCTATGGCCCAAAGCAAACACTCCATCTCATCCCACGCCTACTTTAGCTCCCTGTTTTTTCCTTCATGTGAAATCTTGGGGCTTCCCCTCCTGATGTGGAAATGTCAGAAGAAATCACTTCACAGGTCTGCAAATATGGCCTCCCCTGGAGAAGGCTTCATCCTAGGGCATCACGCTGCCCAGTTGGGCCTTTTAACACCATCAGCATGAGCTGCTTCTGGTGGCTGGAAACAGAGAGCCAGCCACTTAGTCTCATGGAAGAGGCCTAAGGCTAACTTGATAGAAGTCCGTGGCTTCCTGTGGCCTTGATCAAGTGTTGGGCAGCTCCACCAGATCTTGGTGAATGCCACCTATTTTTAGGAAACAGGCGTATTCTGAGAGATGGGGATGGGACAGTGCCATCTGCTTCAACACAAAGGAAGGAGGCGAATGATTGGTAAGGTTGTATCAGACCCCCATCAGGTGCCTTTCTCCTTACTACAGCTGGCATTTGCTGAAGGGTTAGTTTGTGGCAGGAACTGTGCCCAGTACTTTACTTTTGTTATTTATGAATCAATAATACTCCTGTGAATTCTGAATCAGCGAACCCATTTTTCAGATGAGGAAGCCCGAGACACAGATGAAGCAACCTTCATCTTAAGATGTGCTTAAGGTCACATCTTCAGAAAATGCACAGGTCAGGATGTGAACTCAAGCACAGTGTAACCTTGACCCCCTACACAACAATCTTCTACTGGTCCCAGAACTGGGTGATCTCTCTAAAGCTATGAATGGAGAAATGCACAGCAAGAGAACAACTTAGTCACACAAAGGATGTTGAATGACAGAATTGAACTGGAGGGACTTAGCTGACCTGAGCATTGGGGAAACCTAAGGGCCAAAGCCAGTAGGCGGAGAAACTAAACGAAAGGAAAAAACACAAGAGGTCAAAGTCCACCCTGCAGCTGTATGGGGGACAACTGGCCAACTTCCACTGTGGAGTGACCTAGAATGGGAAAGTGACCTAGAATGGGTGAGGCCATCTCCATTGTGCCTCCTGCCCTCTGTCTCCTTTTATTACATGTGTCTTTACAATGGAATCTCTTTGCATGGATTAGAAGAAATAAACCAAAGTACCATAATTCAATTACCTCCAATACTCCATTGGGACATTTTTAACTTTTTTTTTTTCCCAAACAAAATAAGTAACATTGTTTAGCAATATTAAGCCAAGGTCACACAGACAACAAAGCCTATGGGCTTACACTTGGATCAAATGGTTCATTTTTCCACCACAACAGAAAAACACAGGAGTCTGTCAAGCTCTCCACCTCCACAGTTACAGTTTCCAGTATTCGCTAAGATAATTTGAATTTTAGCTGCAAACTTCCGGGGGTGGCCATGACTACATCTAGTGACTCAGGAGCATGTGGGGGTAATCTTCAGACACCTCTCTTGCTTAATTTGTATACAACTCTTGAACATTTGAGATCAATGTAAACAAAATAGCATCGGATAGTACTTGGCATAATGTTCTGCTAGGTGATTCCATATTTCTCAAAGATTGGTATAATTTTAATTAATAAGACTTTTTTATTTTTCTTCTTCTGTTACATTATTAGTCAGAGGCTATGTATAAAGAGTTATTATTGAGATGAAGCATCCTGAAGGAGTAAAGGCAAAAATTTGAGAAAAGGACCCTTGGGGAGGGGGAGGATTCTAAAAAGGAGGAGGAATCTGCAGGCATGTGGCAGAAGACACAGGGAAATGGGGGGACAGTCCTCCTAATAATTTGCATTATTAGGAGGACATTTGCATAGAACAGCACAGCTTACAAGAAGCTTTCATACAAATCTCATTAAACTTTGTAATGACTCCAGAAAAGCAACAAGTGCAGATGTTATTGTTCGCATTAAGGCGTGAACACTAAGACCCACAGAAGATGAGTGACTTGCTAAAGGCAGCACAATTAGTATGTGACAAAGCTGAAACTTGAGTCAGAGTCTTCAGATCCTTATTATTGTGCATTCCAGGACACGGTGAAATCTCAAATGGAGGTAAATCAAATGTTACTAAATTCAAAAATTTTAAGAGGCAGGGGCAAGAAGATCAAGAAAAACCGGTGAACGAATGTGATGTAGGGGCATGGGTTTCAGCCTCTGTTCTGCTGCCCATCAGCTAGGACCGTGGCAAAGTTTCTGAAGCCCTCCCTGTGCTCTGCGCTGTTTGCTTGATGGTCCTTTATTCTGTGGGTTCTGCTTATAACATTATCAGAACCAAAGTGCAGAGAGGGAGGGATGTGGGGGTCTGAATCGGATGCTCAGACTCCGTGCAGGAGCCAAAATCTAGCCACAGCATCCTCACTTTGTACTTTGTACTTTTTGTTAAGGGAGGGATGTCACCTGTGATGTCTCATGAAAGAAGTTCAATGTTCTCATTTTGTGTTCTGCCAAAGTCAACAAGCACTGCTCCCACCATGACCACGCTGCATGTCAGATGCCAAATGTGGACCATTTTCACCTCCACCTTGCCCAAGATCACAGAGTAGGTACCGGAACTGAGAAGATGAGCCATGGCTGCATGACTGTCAGCTTGTGTTTCTGACCCCTGGGCTGTCATTCCCTTATCTCTATCTATGATTTATAAATCATAGTACTCTGACGTGTATTCTTTGCCCCAAACTTGTCATTTGAGATATGTGAAATTTTATATGCAAATAATCTCAAATGAAGACACAAATTATTTCTTTAAAGATAGCATAAGTGAATGACACACCAAGCAGTCCAGCTACAGTTCATTAATATTCCAACTTGAAACAAAAATTGATCCAAAGGAGGAGATAACCAAAGAAGAGACAAGTGGCCATGGGGAAGGTCCCTTTCTTTTATTCTGGTGAAAGGAAGGCAGGGATTGCCCACAGGAAAGAATTGTGGGATTCTTTCTATTCTATTCTTTCGTCAGGGTGTCAGTAACCTCAGCTCTCACCATAGGGATCCAAACACTGTCAGACCATATCCCCAGATGGGGATATAGCTCAGTTGGTAGGGTGCTTGCCTCACATGCACAAGGCCCTAGGTTCAATCCCCAGAACCACCAAAATAACAACAAAACAAAAAAACAAACAAAAAACCCACAATGATAAAAATCCCCCTTTTCCTTTAACTTACTTGTTTATGGACACAGATCAACAGAGCACCCCAAATACATGTTGATCTTATTCTCAATAGAAATCCCATCTTGGCCCATCATTGGCCCAATTAAGATGCAGATTACAGAGAAACAGCCTTCCTAAGCCATTTTTTACTACTGCA